CTTTATGCTAAGCTAAGCTAGCATAAAGACTATAGCCCTACATTTAACAGACAGACATAAATGTGGTATCAATCAGAATAGTCAGCTCTCTGTCAGAAAGCAAATAAGTGTTTTTCTCACAAAACAGTGAAATAAATCTGCATTAATCTTTTGTGCGTAGTTACCTTTTAGGAAACCCTCCTGATCTTTGAGGGAAATAACAGTCATAAGGACTTTTAAAATGATGATGATTAATTATCTTGTTTACATGTGAAAACCAACTGTTATTATTTTATTCATAGAGTGCTTTTTCATGATACTCTAAGACACTTCACATAAGTTAAAGTATAGAAGTGAATATGAAGTTATTCTGTAGATATAAAAGCTGGTTTACAAGTAGATGGGTTTCAGTTTTGATCACATCCCAATGTAAACATTTCCTCAATTTTCTCCTTTAATCTGTTCAGTCCCGAAACAGTCTGCAGCAGGGCAACATCGACGGAGCTCGCCGTCTGGGCCGTAATGCCATGGTTCTGTCCGTCGTCTCCATCTTGGGAGGAATCGCCATCATTGCCGCCGCCATCGCCCTCAACTGGGGATGTAAGTAAACGCCTCCCTAAGGATTCACATTCTGTATCACCATTCAGTCAATATATTATTTGTTCTTGTGAAACAATAAAGGAAACGTCTCCACTAGAATTAAACAGAGTTAATTTACGTTGCCAGAATTTGTAATGACACGGCTGCCAGACAGCTACAGTAAAATGGCTCAAGGGACTTTAGACTCATTTTAAAGTCGGTCTGTCAGTTAACCATCTCTTATTTATTCATTCACTGAGGTCTGAAAGAGCCAAAGGGCCATTTACTGAATATAAACACTGCTTTGGTAGCTGTAGCCACAATATCTTCAGCTCTTAAAACTGCTTCTGTGGTCCAGGCTCGGATCAAAGCTCTAAGGTCTCGACATGTGAACACCAGATCGTAGTAGATCACATCTCATATAATCAGTTGACCCAAAATCTTCAGTCAGAATAGAAACTGTGCATGTGAGCACAGCTAATGAGTCATTTTAATCTTTGTTTTAATGTCCAAGATGTGTTTAAATATCTGTGAAACTATTTCTTCTGTCTCCAGTGATATTAAAATACTGATGAAAAATCGGCTGGAAAAGATGAGACAGACTTCACGACAACATCTGACTGACACGACACCGCTCACTCCGATCTCCTGAAGCACTATTATTCTCAAGCGCCTGCACCGGATGAAAAATAAATCTGTTCCTGTTATTTGCTGTTGTTTCTTGCTGCACGACGAGCATGGTCTGCCTGACGCTCTACCTCCAACACGACCCACCAACCCACCGACCCACCGACCGACCGACCGACCGACCCACTCCCGACCCAGACGCCCGATGGAAGAGGAGAGAAGGATGGATCACAAGATTTCATTTTGTGGTAGCAGCTTATCTCCTCCGCAGACCACTTTTGTTCTCATCGATGAACAAGTGTGTCTGTTGTCATGGAAACGGACATCTGTCTCTATGGAAATGGGATAATTCTGATATGTTATATTTCCAGTAACGGTGCAAACTGGAGGACGTGGTTTCCACTTTTTAATGCCAAAAAATTCGAAACTTAGCTGAACTGAAACTGTTGGTGTGACGGTTCAACACGAACTGAAGGCAGGAGAGAAAAACACTGAGTGACCTGTTTCCTGAGAAAGTGATGGATGGTTTCATCATCCATCTGTTCCTGTTGGTGTTTATGACGCACACACACACACAAAGGTGGACACACACACATGCTGCTGCTGTATGGTGGTCATAGAGAGCCCCAGTACTGATGTTCCACTAACATCTGGCACTCAAAACCACCTCCCATTCAGGTTTTCTTGTGAAAGTGTTTTATTAACCACAGTTGTTGTATTACTTCATATCCACGACATCATCTCTCTGCTGTCCGCTCGACTGTCGACTGTGAATCAGACTGAATTATAGCCATTCTGTCTGATATTGTGTTCATGTTAGCTGACTTCTGCTTGGGATTTTGTTTTGTTTTGTCCTGACCAACTGACCCTTCCTAAGTCCCGCCCCTTTTTGTTGTGCGCTCCAATAACAGTTGAACAAACCTCAGTCAACTTCCTCCTTTCCTGTACTTTGAAATGCTACATGCTAGGCTAATCTCTGTTGAAAAACAACCACATTTTGAAGATGGTTATAAGATAAAGGAGACATATATATATATATATATATATATATAGCCACATCATGAGTTAGCTAATCTTAGCAAAAAACTAGCCAACTAATCTACATCTAATCTACGTACGTGGTGGCTGTTTCATTCAGCTCCACCTCTTTGACCAGTTTTGGATTAGAGTCCAGACTGCCAAGATGGCGACGGCCCTTTACCTATGGGGGACGTTATCGAGACTTCCTCCATATTTTAATTATACAATCTATGGACTACATACATGGTGCTTTTATCTTTTAACCTTCTTTAAAATGTGGTCGTCTTTTTAACGTAGATTAGCCGAGCACGTAGCATATCTAAGTACAGGGAAGGAGGAAGTTGACCGAGGCTCTGCTCAACTGAAAGGTGGCTGGACTTAGGATGTGTCCCATCTATGCCATTTTCAGATTGTCGATTGTCAACATCAGACCTCCCTTTGCAGTAATTAGAGTTGTTACAATAGTCAGTGTGGTTTTGACTGAGGTTTTCTTACCTTTGGAGCAGAACCTGGAAGTTCTGGTTTACTTTGTCTACAGTTTCAGTATCTGTCTGGTGGCAGCTTGTGTGACAGTGTTTGTTAAAGCTGCTAAACTATAAATATTGAATGATATAACATCTTTGAGTTAAAGACACTGACCTTTAATCACAACATCCCTAAATGTAGTCCGACTGAAGACGCCATCAGTCCTCACTCCTCTTATTTCTGGCCATATCTCGGCTATCTTAAGATTCGGCAAACACTGTTGGGAATAACTGAAGTATTTACTGTGGCTCTCTATAACTCCAAGACTGAGTGTGTGAGAAGAGAGATGAAGTGTGTGTGCTCAGCTGTGGTTGTTGGGATGTCTGAGTGCAGATATTTGCCTGTAACTGAGTCCAGCTGAGTCCCTCCTATTCAAACATAATTAATTATTCTCTCTGACCGCAGAAGGCGCAGTGTTTCCCACTTAATGGACATAAAGTGATGGGCAGTTGGATAGTATTCTCTGTGATCTCCAGGCCTTCCAGCGTAGCACAATATTTAAGACCCTGTACATAGACATTCCCTACAGGCCACAAATCTATTCATTCTAGTGTCTCCACACGTGAGGCCCTGTATACTCAATCCCTGCCCCCCCCCCTCAGTCCGACACCCCTGAGGCCTTCTTTTCATTTGGGCGGGTAATGTTACACCACAGGTCTCGACTCCCTCTGACTGTTCACGTGCCCACAATGTGATCTAATGTGAGGTTTATTTTTCTTGATTGTTTGTGTTCTCTGTCTAGCTTTTCAAAATCAAACCTCACTCTGTTTATCCTCAATGCAATTGTTGACTACGTTTACATGCACAAAATATTCAGTTTTTTGCCCTTAATCTGAAACAGACAATATTCCAGCTAAGCTGTTTACATGGCTAATGAAAATGAATATTCCTGTTAATGTGCGGCTGTTTATTACGTACTTTACATCCTTTTTCTAACTGCAGTCGTGGCAAAAGTGGAGTTCACCACCATTGCTCTCATTGCAGTCAGTTAGGATTCCTTCAGTGTTCATCGTTCAAGAGGTTTATACCAGGAGTACAATTATCCACAGATACAGGGCAGAGGTCAGTTTTAGTTAAGTCCAATAATTGTGACACTAATTGTGTGATTGCTGCA